ACACTGCCCCTTCCCCCGCAACCTTTGTCCCCTCTGGTCCTCCCCCCCCTCCCCCGAGCCAGGCTTCTAGTCATTTGAGCACAGTGGCCCAGTGCAGAGAGCATACAACACTTGCTGACTTGGAGAGGCCTGAGTCTTCCTGTCTATCAAATGTCTATCAGGCACAGGAAGGCCTGATCTGCAGACACCTGTCCTGCCTTCTTTGCAGGGTGGTTGGGGAATTTGCTGGCTAGTTGATGGAGGCAGAGGGGGATGTTGGCTTCTTCTGCTGCCCCCACCTCCATTCAAAAAGCTGTCTGTGACTTTTCCAGGACTCATAATCCCACACTTCCCCCAAACGACCCATGAACTCAACACTGTGATTTGTCCTAAGAACCACGGTTGGGTCGTAAAACTTAGACCTTAGCAGATACCAGGCCCTTCAATTCAGAGAAGGAAACTAAACCTGGGGAAGGCCCTGGTCACAACCAACCAGCCACCTGGCTGCCAAAGGGGGCACAGGCTTTCTTGGAGTCAGGGCTGAGCCCACATGTGAGGCATGCTGCCCTCCCACCCATAGCTGACCTTGGTGGGTAGGAGGATGTGTCCCTTCAGCCCAGCAAGTTTTCACTTAGTAGACAAGGGAGGGAAGGATGGGGAGTAGGAGATGACCCAGGGAAGTAGAGAGAAGCAGTATACAGTGTTTTGTAAAGCAAGAGGCTCTCAAGGAGCTCAGGGATGTGGTCCTGGAGGGCTGGAGCTGGTGATGGGGCCCAGAAGCCCTGCGCTGTGGCCCGGCCCTGCTTCTGCTTCTTTGGGCCAGTGGCGCAGCCCGTCTGGGCTCCGTGAGTGTTCAGATCCTCTCCTTTCCAACTTGACCTCTGGGGTATGGGTTGCAAAGGGCGGAGAGGCTGCACCCTCATTCCTGGGTCACACATGGGCCTTCCCTCCTCTTTCTCAGCCAGGTGTGTGGGGTAGGAGAGGGTGTGAGGTGGGCCTGGCAATGCAGGGTGGGGTGCAGGGTGGGAGAATGTGGCTGAGTCCCCAATCTGAGGTTGGCCTGGCTCCTGCCCGGTGCCTTGGCCTCCCTGGCTGCCTGACTCAGGCATTCCCTGCTGGGTGCCCACATTCCTACCATTCTTAGAGCCTCCCTCAATGCCCGCTTTCAAAGGGCTCCTTGAGGTTAGCATTCAAGGCCTGTCGGGTCAGTGGGTCCGGTTGGAAGGCTGTGCCTGCCCGGGCCAGACTGCAGTCCCTGTCCCTGTTGCTGCCTTCAAGGACAACATCATCCCCTATGTTCCATCCTCTGCTCTCACCCTCCTCTTGGGCTGCCCCCCTCTTTCATTAGCCACAAGGATGTGGGGACAGTGGGGCCCCGACGGTGACAGCACCCAGAGTGAAGGAGAGGAGGAACGATGCCCCTCCAGGCCAGCCTGCTTTAGGAAAACCCACCCTATGGAGGTCCAGACTCGCTCTAGCCGTTAGGCCACTGGGACGGTGGTGGGAGGGTGGTGGCCATGAGAGCAATCAGGTCTGATTCTTTCCAGTGGCATCTTGCCTCCCACACCCAGCTGTCTTCTTGACCCTCCTCTCTGGCTGGGGCCGGGCCCTGCGGCTCCTGCCCCCGCGAGGAGGCTGAGACCATGGAGTCTGGCTGGGCACAGGGCAGCCTGAATGTGCTCTTTCCCGGTCCAGAAGGAGCAAGGGTTGGCTCAGAATCACATGGGGGTGGGAGTGGGGGTCTTGTGGCTTGGCCCACCTTTGGGGCCATGCCCTCCTCGTGGGCCCCTAGCCCCCTCCCCTGCCCGAACCCCTGGTTATTCTGGGAGCTTTTAGCTACCACTTAGTCAGCCGCTAATGCGTCAGGCTGGGGAGTGAGGGGGGAGACCCGGTGCCAGACGGTGCTCCTTTTAGACATCCAGGATGGGAAGCAGAGGGGGCTGGTCAGGCAGGGAGAGCAGGGGGCATGCTGGAGGAGGGGAGGCTCTCTCCATCCTAGCCCTGCCTGGAGGGAGGGGGGGGGGGGCAGCACTGCAGACTGATGGGCAGTATCCTTGGGCTCCCCGCCCCATCCCGCTCAGGGCCGTTAGGTCTAGGTACTCCCCATTCAGTCAGCCTCCCCACCTTGGCTCAGCTCTTGCCCTTGTCTGGTATTCTTTTCCTGCCTGTTCCTGACCCATCTGGCTTTGATCCGCCTCCCCCAGCCCTTTGGATTCATTGGGAAGCAAAAAGACGCATTTAAGGAGGTGACACTTGCTCACCCGCCTGGGCTTTTTTAGGGGCAAGCTCTGGCCTTGCTCAGCCCCGGCATGGGCAGAGCCTTGAAGGCCGCCCCCTCCCTGACCCAGCTCTTTGTGATGGTGCCACGGGGACACGGGGCCTGGCTGTGAAGGCTTGGTGCTGCCTTCACTTCCAGGCAGCCCTCCTGCCCCTGAGCCCCCCAGCCCCCGCTCCTGCAACCTGAACAAAGCTTCCTTTCACGTATTCATCGAGCTGCTGCCGCTCAGACACTTCCCCGGCACAATCAGGCCCTTTGAGGGCCTTGGGCAGTTCGGGAGCCAGGCTGGGGTTGGGGTGGAGAAGGGGCCAAGGCCTGGTCCTGGGGCTGAGCTGGTGCCGTCCTTCCCATACACATCATTAGGCGCAGAGTGGGGAGGGGCGGGAAGCTGGGGGTCAAGGGAGGCGATGCTTCCTGGCCCCCGTTTGTTCTTCTGCAAAATGGGGCGAACGGTTCCTGCTTAACCCACCCCTGGCTGCTGTAGCCAGGATTTGAAGGGCATGGGACTCATGCCTGCAGATCTGTGCGGGACCGTCCTGGGCCCGGTATGGTAGCCTGCCACACTGCACCCCAGCTGCGGGCAGCCCTCACCCGCCCTCCCTTTGTGTCCTCAAAGATCCTTCGTGAGCAGCCCTGAGTTCTGCCCCGGGACAGTCCTGCATGCGATTCGGCGAGGCTTGCTTCCGGGTGGCTGTCTCACTGTCTGGATTTCAGCGTAGGGCCGGATCTCCTCCACACACCTGGCTCTCCAGGGCCAGGCCGTACGTCTCCCATCAGGCTTGACTCCCCAGGGCAGGACTGCCACCCCCGGACAGGAGCTGCCCCCGGGGCCCGCTCTGGTGCCTTTTTCCCTGCTACCAGAGCTGTGGTTGGCCTTGAGGGGTAGGCTTCTGGGGGCTTCAACTCTCAGGCCCCAGCCCATCTCCAGATGCAGACATGCAGGCTTTCCTGGCCACGGCTGGCTAGGGGAGTGGAAGGGGGAGCGGCTGCAGACTGTCTGGATCCCTGGCTGGCTGCCAGTGAAAGGGCAGCCGGGCACCCCACCTGGAAAGGCGGGGGAGCCCGGACGCCGAGACCTGCCAGCCATGCAGTGCCCGGGCCTTGGCCAGCAGCACCCCCCCCAGCCCAGGGCAGAGCGGGGCTCTCAGCACTGGCCTGCGCAGCTGGGGCTGAGGGGGTGAGCCTGCGGGACAGTGAGGCATGACACGCCGAGCTGCCCAGGCTGTGTGTGGAACGCTCCAGGAGAGCCAGGGGAACCCGAGGGCAGTGAGCTCAGCACTTCTCTGTGGCTGGCATCTCCGAGCACCGATCCTGTGAGCCAGTCTGCCTTCCCTCCTAGCGTGACCTTGGGCTAGCGTATCCCCGGGGGCCCTGAGTTTTGGCCTCTGTGCTGTGAGCCAAGCCACAGTGGCAGTGAAGACTGAGAATATCCCACTTCCAGGACTGTGTGGAGCTGTAGCCTACGGGAAGGGAAGGCGGCTGCGGGTCACAAGGTGCGCCCCCATTGAATGCAGAACCAGTAGGGATGGCTCAGATGGCCGGAGAGGGCCCGGGGTCTGCGAGGAAATGGCAGCCCTCTTCCGAGTGGGCTGGGCTGTGTCCTACTTCAGTGTCCCTGGGGAGCTGGCTGCCCCCAAACTCACTGCAGCTGAATAAACAGTGGTCGGACCGAATTCTGGGGTGAGCCCCAAGCTGGTCAGGGGTGGAAGACGCTAGCTGGGGCTGCTTGCGGGGGGGCCCAGCCACAAGCCGTCCCATCTCTGTAATTTAATCCTGCAACCGGGCTGACCTCGGCAATGTCACCGGAGATGAGATATCTTCTCCTGAGGTAGTGGCTACAGACTGTTTCTTTTTTGGGCAAAATTGCCCTGGTCAGCCCTTCTGCTTAAAGGTCCAGGCTGTGCTTGTGAAGGGCTCCCTGTCCCAGAGCTGCTGCGGAGGGAGGGCTGATCGTCCCCCGCCGGGGCCAGCCGGCACCCTGTGAAACCAGCCCAGAGCAGGCCAGGCCACCGGGTGCAGCTGGGGGGCTGCGGCGTGGGATGTCATTCCGTGCCTGCTACTGACCCTGTGACCTTGGGCTGCCGCCTCCTTCTGGACTTCCATTTTCCCATCTGTAAAAATGGGGAGGAGTGGATACTCAGATTCCTTTCTAGCTTTGATCTAAGCTGGCCTGCTCACTAAGACCTGGGTGGACCAGGAGGGGTTGGAGAGGGCTTCCCAAAGGAGGGGTGGGCGTTCTGACCACAGCGATCCCTGGGAACCTTGACTCTAAGTGGGCTGCTTCGAGGCCCTGCTACCCACGGGAGACAGAAGTGGCCGCTGGCTCTGTCCTGGCAGTGGTGAGCCTCACAGACCGAAGCCAGGGAGCCCTGGTCGAGTCCCGAAGGCTGAGCCCGGCTTCTTAGGAGTAGCAGACTGTGTGCAGTGTGTCTGTGTGTATGTGTATGTTGGGTGGGGGTGGATGGTTCTGTTTTCTCAGGGGGGCCCCTAAATCCTGCCCTCATTCCAGAGGTTACACATATTGTAAGATAGGGGTCATGGCTCTGGGCCAAGGACAGCTGGTTGCTGGACCCCAGCAGGGGACCCTTCACTTCTCCCACTCATGGCTCTGAGTCCTGGTACTGCCCTAGTCCAGACCCCAAACACTAGTTGTCAGGCAGGTGCTGATATGCCTAGGGGGGTGGGTAGGTTCTTCCTGCCCAGGGCTGAGCCTCAACGTTTCTGCCAATTGCCTCCTCCTCAGGCCGCGCAGGACAGGACTGGGTTGACTTCGGCCTGGCAGAGCCTCACACGGTGCTTTTCCATGAGCCCGGCAGCTCCTCCGTGTGGGTGGGTGGACGTGGCAAGGTCTATCTCTTCGACTTCCCTGAGGGCAAGAATGCCTCTGTGCGCACGGTGAGCCTGGACCCCTCTGCCTGGATCTTTCTGCTGGCCCCAGGAACAGAGATGAGCCCCTCCCTCTCTCCTTCCTCCCCCCATTTCTCTCCTTATCTCCTCTCTGGGGTCTCAGGGAATCCATGGGAGTTAGCGCTCTTCCTAAATTGGTCTACTCCCCATTATATCCCATAATATAATTATATCCCATCATATAGTCCCTGGGAGAGGCTCCCTAAAGGTAGTCCAGATCGGCGTGGGTGTTGGGGCGGCATGGAGAAAGGCCTAGAGCTAGTCCCCCAGGCCAAGTGGGTAGTGCTGCTGCACGACACCCCGACAGGAAGCTGGGCTCCAGGACCCCATGGCCCCCGTCCTCTGAGATTTCTGGGCTGGCTCTGGGCTTTGGCTCCGGGTATCAGGCCAAACAGCCTGTGATCTTGGGTGAATCACTCAGCCTCTCAGAGCCCTCATCTATAAAATGAGCTCATCCTGAGGATGCATGGAAGGTACTTACAGGCATCTCGCCTTGACAGAGTGGACTAATGCTCTCCCCTCCCCCCCAGGTGAACATTGGCTCCACGAAGGGGTCCTGCCTGGACAAGCGGGTGAGTGGGGCACAGGTAATACAGAGGGGAGGCTGACTCCCTTGGAAAAGGGAAGGGAGTCCCTGAGAGTCTGAGGAAGGAGGCATGGACCTGTCTTGGGAGTCATAGTCTGGGAGGAGAGAGGTAACCTTGCCTCAGGATTCCCAGTTCTGAGGGGGAGACATGGTCCTTCTCCAAGGCCTCTCTGCCCTACTCTGTTCTGGGGGGGTTGGAGTGAGCGGCACCCCTTCTGGGCTCTCCTTTTGGAGGGTACCTCCTATACTCAGACTTCTGATGCCTCCTTCCCCAAGACTGAGGGTCCTAGTGCTAGGCCTGCCGGGGCCTCCAGCCAACCTGTCTCCCCTTCTCCCTGGCAGGACTGTGAGAACTACATCACGCTGTTGGAGAGGCAGGGTGAGGGGCTGCTCACCTGCGGCACCAATGCTCGGCGCCCCAGCTGCTGGAGCCTGGTGAGAGGGCCCCTCCCCGTGGACCTGGTCAGCACAGTCTTGTCTGGGTGGGCTTCTCCATGGTGGGAAGGAGCTGGGGGGGCTCTGAGGCTGGCCTCACCTTGTATAGAATCCCTGGAAAGAGGGGGACCCTGGCTGGGAAGCTGGCACCCATGGGAGGCAGTGGCTATGGCGTCACATGGCTGTCTGACCCTCCTTGGTGTCCCCCAGGTGAATGGCACCGTGGAGTCGCTTGGCGAGAGGAGAGGCTATGCCCCCTTCAGCCCGGATGAGAACTCGCTGGTTCTGTTTGACGGTAGGGCTGCTGCCTTGGGCTGGGGGAGGGCGGTCAGCTCCGTGTCCGGTGGCCCAGGCGTGGAGGAGGGACTTCCAGGAGCTGTCTGCCCTTACCCATGGTCCTCCCCCCATGCCCAGGGGACGAGGTGTACTCCACAATCCGGAAGCAGGAATACAACGGGAAGATCCCCCGGTTCCGCCGCATCCAGGGCGAGATCGAGCTGTACACCAGTGATACCGTCATGCAGAGTAAATCAGGCTCCGGCTGGGCCGGAGGGGCGGTGGGTGGGGACCTCCTCTTCCCCGGGAGGGCTCCCCGAGGGCCGCTGGGGCCACAGCCCACTCAAGAAACGAGGAGGCTGACCTGTAAGGGAGCAGGGGAACAACAAAGACAACAGCGTTCCGGTGGGGGGGGGCCTGTACACTCGGGGAGCAAAACGGAGGAAGCCGCAGACCCAGCGGGGGCTCCCCAAGAGCCAGAGCGTATCCCTCTGCTGAACTCATGTGGGGGCAACGCCTCCTCCCTCCTCATTAGGGCTCTGCCAATTAGGCAGAGGTGACATAGGGACCCCCAGGGACCTCCCCCCAGTCCCCAGGCATGAAGTCATTGCTCTTGGGCCGATGACATCTTTGTAGGAGAGGGCAAAACAGGTGTGGGGTGGGGGTGCAGACTCAGGCCCCTTGGGCTATTGGACCTGATGTCCTTGAGTCTTTTTCTAGGTCCGATTTGCCCTGGGTTTGTAGAGACTCGGGGGGTAGGGTGTGTGCTCACATGCACACAGAGTGGGTGCATACAGGGTGGTTGCACAAAGGGTGGGTCCTCTGAGCAGACTCCCAGCCTCACACCCATTTGCCTGTGTCTCTGGCAGACCCCCAGTTCATCAAGGCTACCATTGTGCACCAAGACCAGGCCTATGATGACAAGATCTACTACTTCTTCCGGGAGGACAATCCTGACAAGAACCCCGAGGCCCCTCTCAACGTGTCCCGCGTGGCCCAGCTGTGCAGGGTGAGTGGGTGGCTGAGTGGGCAAGCGTGTGTGTCCGTGCCTGCGCAGGAGTGAGCAAATGTGTGAAAACACACTTGGGTCAGGTGTCATACGTGTTTGCATGCAGGAGCATGTGAGATGTGTGAGTCTGGGTGTGGGATTGTGGGAGCAAATGTGTGTGCCCGGGAGGGCCTGTGCATCTGCGAGTGGGCGAAGGTGGTGGGGCTCGGGTGCACGTGTGTCGGCGTGCACAGGTGTGATTTCACGTGGGATGTGTTCGAGTGTGTTCGTGAGCGTGGAAGTGCGTTTACGTGTGTTCGTTTCACCTGACTGAAGGTGCTGGGATGCGCATCTGTGGCACACGTGTGAGCGTGTACGCGTGGTCTGAGCTGGTCTGCTCTATGGGGACCTGGCACCCGGAGCCTGTGGGTCCCCACTGCTGGCCCTGCGTCCCGGATCAGCCAGGCCTGCGGCTGGAGCCCGGCCCCAGCTCCTCGCGCCGTGCCTTGGCATCTGGCAGGTTATGGCCCCTTCCAGAGCTTCCGCGCCAGCTCTGAAGCCTGGGTGCCAGCGTTCCTGGCAGCCGGGCGGGGACTGAGGGGCCTCTTCCTCCTCCTCACCCTTTCAGGGGGACCAGGGTGGCGAGAGCTCCCTGTCAGTGTCCAAGTGGAACACCTTCCTGAAGGCCATGCTGGTGTGCAGCGACGTGGCCTCGAACAAGAACTTCAACAGGCTGCAGGACGTCTTTCTGCTCCCCGACCCCAACGGCCAGTGGAGGGACACTCGAGTCTATGGCGTGTTCTCCAACCCTTGGTGAGTGACCTTCGCCGGGCCCGGGGCCGGGGCTGGGGCCAGCGGGGCTGAGAAGGCTGAGGCCCTGCTGAGGAGGAGGCTCATGGGGCATAAGTGGACAGCGCTGTTGCGGCGCCTGGGGTGGGGGATAGTCCGTGCTCAGGGAGATGCGAGCGCTGGAATGTTTGTGCGTCTGCACCGGGTGTGCGTGCACGTGCCATGTGCGTGCTGAAGGCTGCAGCTGTGCCCGTGTATCCCTCGGCGGTGTGCTCGGAGTGGGTGCCGGGGCGCCGGGGAGAGGCGGCCGAGGCCTCCTGGGGTGCTGGGTGCTACCACAGCTGTTCAAGCACCGCCTGCTCCCGATCATTCAGCTCATTCACGCCTCTTAATCGCTCTTGTTGATTGAAAACAAGGCAGGCGTTGGTTGGGTGTATGCGGGGAGAGCTGGGTGGCAGGGTGCGGAGGCCAAGCCCCTGCTCTGTTGCTCCTGTGTGGGTAGACCCAGCCTGGCTGCGAAGCGCACGGGAGTCTGGCCTCCTCGGGCCTCAGCAGGCTGCAGCTGGGCCCAGAGAGGTGGGAGGACCGCCCAGCTAGAAGGCATACACTGGGATTTCTCCCCCAGCGTTGGCCTCTGAACTCAGTGATTCTGTGACAGAACACAGGTTGGGGTTTTCGAATGCAGCAGAAAGAAGTGTGGTTGAACTTGCCTCTATCCCTTCCCCCTTCCCTCCCTCCCTCTTTCCCTCCTTCCTCCCCCCTGCTGTCCCTCCCTTCTTCCTTCCTTGGTGTTTTGATCGTCTTAGGCACTGGGCTTGACCCGCAGGATAGTCCCTGCCCTCACAGAGCTCATAGGCCAGGGGGCTTGGTTATGTCCCTGTCTGGTACTGGGCTGGCCTGGGTGAGTGGGGGTGGGGGTCCCGGGCCCCCCACTGAGGAGGTCTCTGTGTCCCCCAGGAACTACTCGGCTGTCTGTGTGTACTCACTTGGGGACATTGACAAGGTCTTCCGTACTTCCTCACTCAAGGGCTACCATACGAGCCTTCCCAACCCTCGGCCTGGCAAGGTAAGCTGACCCCCCACCATGGCCCAGGCCCCAGCCCCACCTCCCAGCCGTGCCACTAACCTGGACCTGTCCTCCTTGCCCAGTGTCTCCCAGACCGGCAGCCCATCCCCACGGAGACCTTCCAGGTGGCTGACAGTCACCCTGAGGTGGCACAGAGGGTGGAGCCCATGGGGCCTTCGAAGACGCCACTGTTCCACTCGAAGTACCACTACCAGAAAGTGGTTGTCCACCGCATGCAGGCCAGCCGTGGGGAGACCTTCCATGTGCTTTACCTAACGACAGGTGAGGGGCTACCCCAGGATCTTCTGGCCTGCCTTGTAAAAATGGATATGAAAGGCATAAAGAATAATATAACTAACATCTGGTTGGATCTTTATACCTGGAAGGAAGAATTGATTGACCGAGAGCTGTCAGGGGATAGTATGTGTAGCTATGGAAGAGTCAGGCTGGGAGGGCTTCTTGGAGGAGGTGGGGGCAGAGGGAAGAGGAGAGGGTATCCCAGGATGGGAGAAGAGCAAGTGTGAGGGTTCAGAGGCAGAAATGTAGCAAGTCTGAGCAAAGTTGGGTGTAGCTTTGGTCCAGATGTCTGACCCAGGGAAGATGGTAGGAAGAAAAGTGGACAGTCAGGAGGAAGGACCGGGTCACTGGTATCCCGAGGGCCTCTGCCAGGCAGAATGAGGAAATCAGACCCTCTCCCTGTCTGTGGGAGTATGCAGGTGAGGGGAAACATTTGATGGGGGGATGCTAAGAATTTAGTGAGACGTGAGGAAGGACTTCCAGACAGCAGAGCCTTTGCAGAGTCTTTTTAAAAAAAAATATTTTATTTATTTATTTGAGAGAGAGAGAGAGAGCATAAGAGAGCACAAGCAGGGGGAGCGGCAGAGGGAGAGGGAGAAGCAGGCTCCCCGCTGAGCAGGGAGCTGGATGCGAGACTCCATCCCAGGGCCTTGAGATCATGACCTGAGCTGAAGGCAGACGTTTAACCCGGGCGTCCCCCTTTGCAGAGTCTTGTAGAGGACCACAGAGGGGACTTGCGTGGGGGTCAGGGCTTTGCTGACTCCAGAAGCTGGGGGGAATGCCCTGGGAGATACCCCTGTATTCTGGGAAGCCACCAGCCATGGAGAAGCCAGCCCCGAGCTGAGTTTTTGGCAACTTCTTGGTCCCAGGCTGTGGGCAAGGGGCTCCTGGGAGCAGGCATGGAGATCAGTGTTGGTGGGGGCCACAGGCCTTCCTTGAGACCGAGTGGTGGTGCCATGAGAAAGGGCAGTATCTCCCCAGGGGCCTCAGGCACCTACCCTCAGTACCTCCCCTGCTATGTGGCTTCCTGCTTCACCTTGTGGCTTTCTCAGGGCCATGGTGACCTTCATGGTTGTTTGATTCCTGGAAGCCTCGGGAGAGGAATTCCCCAAGGGGTCTGCTTCTGGGTCCTGAGACCTCACTTCTTTACTCCTCCATTCATGCTGCCTGTACCCATGGGCCCCTGTCCTTGCTCTGCTCAGCCGTGGCCGGCCTAGCTGCTGTGGTCAGCCGGGGGGACGGCAGGGCATCGGGGTGCAGGAGAGGAAGGGTCACACGGTACAGGACTGAGAGCAGGAGACAGGGGCCGTGGGCTCCCTCACACAGACCTGGGAGGCGAGCGCACTTGAATGATGAGGCAGTTGTCCTGGTTTATCCGTGAGGCCATTGGAGAGGTACCATTTTGGAGCCTGCAGCAGGAAGGATTGGGGCCAGATAAGAAATAGAACTTTCTGAGCCCTCTGCAGAGAGTGGGAGGCTCTCACACCTGGGAGAAGCTATGGGAGGCACTCACGGGGCTGCCGTGGAGGTGGCGGAGGACAGCATGTGTGTGTGGGTGTGAAGGCAGCGGCGAGGCTGGGGGCTTGTCAGGACAAAGGAGCGTCTGGTCACATCTCAGAGCCTGCAGAGGGGCATCATGGACACATAGAGGAAAGTCCTAGGTGGGTGATCATCTGATCATCTGACTGCTTTTTGGGGGCAAGTGATGCCCTGGGAAATTGGGAAGGAGGGAGAGGGGGAGGTAGGCTATTCTAGAAACTGGGACAGCGGGTGAAGTGGGAATGGGAGGGCCCAGGGGTCAGAATGCCCATTAGTCCCCCACATGTATGAATGGAGACAGCATGGTCTTGGAGGCAGGCAGCCTGCTTCTGACCTTGGGAATCTCTATGTGGCATCTAAGGTCCTTTTCAGATCAAATATTTTATAAAAATTAAAAAATCCCCAAAGATTAAATGCAATATGGAGTCCTAGATTGGATCCTGGAACAGACAAAGGACATTAGTGGAAAAACCCAAGAAATCCCAATAAAGTCTGTCGTTGAGGTAATAGTAATGTCCCAGTGTCAATTGCTTCATTGTGACCATGTACCACAGTTACGTAAGATAGTAACGTTGGGGGAAACTGGGTGAAGGGAACTCTGTACTATCTTTGCGACTTTTCTGTAAAGCTAAAAATATTCCAAAATGAAAAGTTTATTTAAAGCAAACATCCCCAAAGAGTCCAGGAAGCAGGGAAATCATAGAAGGAGCTGAGGGGTGGGGTTCTGACGTCTCTGGGTTCCAGTCACCGGCTGTGTGACCTTGAGCTAAATTGCTCAGCCTTTCTGAGCCTCATTTCCTCGTCCCAGAATTGGGAAGATGATAACCACCTCTTAAAGAGTGTGGAGGATTCCTCAAATTACTGTTTTCTGTTAACAAATTGCCTTTGTGTGAGCTAAAAAAAAAAAAAAGTGTGGAGGATTAAACAGTGCACAAGGCTAACGCACAGAGGCTCCACAAAGTACTGAGGACAGCCGGTTCTGTTCTTCATGCTCCAGCTGCCCCTGCGGCCTTGGGGAGCCATGGGCCTCCTGGGATGGCCTCTGTGGCCCAGCCTCCGAAGCTCCCTGGGTTGCCCTCAGGCTCCCACGTCCCTCTCCAGCCGTACTCTCCTCACCCCGCCTCACCCCAGTCCTGTGACCCTCGCCTGAGCCCTGACTGCCCAGCCCTCCTCCACGTCAGCCCGGCCGCGCTGTGGTGGAGCTCCCGCCCATGGGCCTGCTGACCCTCTGCCCCTCGCCCACAGACAGGGGCATCATCCACAAGGTGGTGGAGTCAGAGGAGGGGGAACGCAGCCTTGTCTTCAACATCATGGAGATCCAGCCCTTTCACCGCCCGGCCACCATCCAGGCCATGTCGCTGGACACGGAGCGGGTGAGCCTCCTCACCCCGCTGCAACCCATGGGGCTACCCAGTGCTGGAGGACAGAGCTCCTTTGCCTGTGATTTGCATGTCCTTTAAGAGCCTTGGGCCCCAGGGCCTGCCAAGGCAGGGCTGGCCTGGTAACTTAGAACGCAGTGTTGGGGCTGTGGGACCTGGCCTGACCTGAGTCCTGCTCTCCTTCCAGCGGAAGCTGTATGTGAGCTCCCAGTGGGAGGTGAGCCAGGTGCCCCTGGACCTGTGTGAGGTCTATGGCGGGGGCTGCCACGGCTGCCTCATGGCCCGAGACCCCTACTGCGGCTGGGACCAGGGCCGCTGTGTCTCCATCTACAGCTCCCAAGGGTACGTTGGCCCGGATCCCTTGTCCCTGGGAGCAGGTGAACACAAGAGTGGGGGTGGTGTTGGGCTGCACCCCCTCCCTGGGGAGGGGGGGCACTGCTGCTGATCCTGGGTGGGGGTGAGGACAGGGAAGGGGCCAGACCCCTGGCCTCCTCTCCGCTTAGCCTCTCTCTGCCTTCCAACTCCAGACCAGTGCTGCAGTCCATTAATCCAGAAGAGCCACACACAGAGTGCCCCAATCCCAAACCAGGTACCTGATTTGGCCCTGCTGGGGCCCCCATCCGCTGAGGGTGGTAGAGCCTTGTCTGAGGGAGACATGGCCTGGTCCTGGGGGCCCCAGGCAGATGGGGCAGGACAGTCCTGCAGAGGGGGCCCCCTTCAGTATGGGCTGGTTGTGGAGACGGGAATGGTGAGGGAGGCAGGGGAGTCGGGAAGAGGTGGGGCACTGTGTTCATTTATAAGAGTTGGTCCGGGCGACCTGGTCAGCAGGGCAGAACACAGCCTGCCTTGGGAGCCCTCGGCCCCCTCCTCACGGCTGCCTCCCCCACCCCTCTCCAGACAAAGCCCCACTGCAGAAGGTTTCCCTTGCTCGGAACTCTCGTTACTACCTGAGCTGCCCCATGGAGTCCCGTCATGCCACCTACTCATGGCGCCACGAGGAGAATGTGGAGCAGAGCTGCGAGCCGGGCCACCAGAGCCCCAACTGTATCCTGTTCATCGAGAACCTCACAGCCCGTCAGTATGGCCACTACCACTGCGAGGCCCAGGAGGGCTCCTACTTCCGCGAGGCTCAGCACTGGGAGCTACTGCCCGAGGACGGCGCCACCGCCGAGCACTTGCTGGGCTGCGCCCGGGCCCTGGCCACCTCCCTCTGGCTGGGCATCCTGCCCACGCTCGCTCTCGGCCTGCTGGTCCACTAGGACCTCCTGCAGCTGGGCATGGCGCGGGTTCCTGCAGCCTCAGGGGCACCGGGACAGTCTCCTACCCAGAGCCGGCTGGGCCCGGCAAGCTCCTTGCCCGCTGCCCCTTCCAGGGGGCCTACATAACCCGATGAAGGACACCAGGACTGGGGACGGCCAGCCGCGGGCGGCTGCTGGGCCCATGTGGGGCACGGGGGCTGGGGGCCGCGGGAGGAAGGCGCTGCTGTGAAGCTGGGGCATTGATGACTTCAGACTTGATCTTCTGGAGACTACTTTTCGAACACCCCTCCTCAAACTTGACTAAATGCAGTGATGTTCCCAGCCCAAGAGCCCATGGGCCAGAGAATGGGGTTTGGGGAGGGAAGGTGGGACCCCGGCTTTGGAGCTTGGGGCCAAGGCCTGAGTCCTTCCGGACTCCCCATACCCCAGCTGCCCCCTCCCCCTCCTTCCTGCCGTGGCCGTGGCAGGGGGTGGCTGTGGCCGTGGCCGGAGGTGGCCGCTGTTCCTTTAGGCCCTGGGCTGCCTTCTGCGACTCCCTCACCAGCCTTGGGACCCAACAGGCGGCGGCCTTGCATGTTTATTGAAGGATGTTTGCTTTCCGGACGGAAGGACGGAAAAAGTTCTATTTTTATGTTAGGCTTATTTCATGTATAGCTAATTCTGACTGCATCTGTATGAAAATACCAAAACTACATGCTGGGGGTGGGGTGGGACAGGGAGGAACTGGGGAAGACATGGGCTGGGGTGGGGGGTCCCAGTCTCAGGCTCCGGGGATGGGATAAGAGTCTGGGGACAGGCATGGGTTCACGGAGAGTGGCATGAGCTGGCTCTGCCCTGGGATCCCAGTCTGAGGGGAACATGGTCCCAGTCCCTTGGTATGGGGGGCAGTTATGGGAGGGGGGTAGGGTGAGGGAGACAGGGGAGAATGAAGGAGAAACTGAGCCCTAGGCTTACCACATTCATATAGAAGGAGGAGCCGGGTCCTCAGGGGGAGGTTCCAGGACTCTGCCCTTGGCATTGGGGGTTGGGGGGTGGGGGGGGTCCCCTCCCCTCCCCTCAGCCCCCTTCCCCAGGGGCTGTGCTTCCATGCTCCTAGTCTCCCACCTTCAGCTCAGGACATGTTATAACTTAGGCTAAACTGTGAATTCCGGTGGGGACAGCCTGGGCCAAGCTCTCTAGGTGCGTGGCTCTGCCCCCAGCCCTGTCCATGGATTTCAGCAGAGAGCTGGGCCCTTCTCTGGCTGTGTCTGGCCAGCCCAGGGCAGGGCCTGGGGCCGGCGGCCTTCCAGCTTTGGCCCCTGCATCTCTTCTCAATGCACTTTAATAATGTAACATATTACTAATAAACAAACTATTTATTTACCTGTGCCTGCTCCTTGCCTGCAAAGCCATCCTGGTCAGGGGAGGAGGGTGGGGGGGCTCCTGCTTGCACACAGTTCTGGGCTTTAAGTCCAGCTTCCTTTGTCTTGGGGGACCTCAGAGTCTATGTCTTGGCCTTGTCTGTTTTCCCAGCTCACAGCCAAGCAGCAGTAGCAGAAGAGCTCACCCCTCAGGAAGCCCACCTGCCCCACGGTGTGGGGAAGGCAAGAAGGAGTGGGGTTTAGGAGCAGCTAGTGGGGAAAGTGTGGACTCAAGCCCCCCTCCCCCCACCGGATTGCTGGGTGACCTCCAACAAGGTCCCTGCTCTCTCTGGACTTCAGCAGTCTCCCTCTTTCCCGCTGGGATGCTCTTGGTACCCGGATGGGCCTCTGGGAGAAGACTCGAGGGACAGAACACGCTCCTTTGTCTCTACAGAGGCGCCAGCAGAGGCTGGGCGGGAGGAAGACATGTGCATCGAGGCATGAAATGAGCCCCTGTAAATCCATGTAAATGAGCCGGTGGGGAGAGGGCAGGCCGGCCACAAGGCTCCTGACCTGTTCCCCCCCGCCCCGGGGGCAGAAGCACAGCGGGCCTCGGATGGCAGTGGACCATTAGGACCCTTTGGCCAGGCATGGAGATCCCCCATGATATCAGGACACCAACATCAGCCTCTTGGGGGCCAGGCTGGGGGCAGGAGCCAGGCCTGTCCTTCTGCCTTCTTTCTTGTGCACCACCCCGAGGGGAGGAGGGGGGTGGACAAAATAGGGAGTTCAGATTGTTAAAGACCAAAGCTCAGCTCTGCTGGGGAAGCTAGAGGGAATGGGAGACTCCTTTATAACTCGAAAGGGCCACTGAGGTTTACCCTGGGGGCTCCACCTCCTGCTGTTCTAGTCTCTCTGCTACCGATGTCCTTGACTCACCATTTATAGCCCTGCACACCCCTGCCTTCTCTATCCTCGTCTCTTTCAGTCCCCTACCCACCTTTGCTCTCTCCCCTGAAGTGCCAGGGGTGGTGATCCCAGGCAGAGATTTCAGAACGACTTGGAATTCTTCAGAGGAGTCCTGAACCATCCCTTCCACGAGCACCACTGATGCCCCAGCCTGCTTGGTCCTGAGCTGTGGGCTGGGGAGGGGGCAGATGGAGCCTTAGGGTGAGTCAGGCCCTGGGGTCCTGGCTAAGGAAGGCACAGCCCCTGCCCCTGAGACCCTCAAAGCCTGGTAGGGGAGGCAGAGGTGGTGTTGGATGGTGATGATCCTAGGAAGGTGGTACCCAACCCATGGTGTGTGCGTGTGGGGGGGGTTGAGTGGGCCTTAGGGGACAAGTAGGAGTCCCTAGGGTGGAGAAGTCTCTGAAGAATGGAAGAGGGAACAGCGTTGCGAAGGTCTGGGGATGTACAAGGGCCTAGTGTCCTTGGGTTTGGCTTAAGTAGTGTGAGCTCCAGGAAGGCAGAGAGACTTTTGTCAGTTTGGGTGATGGCTGCATCTTTAGCATCTAGAACAGTGCCTGCAAAACATTCTTGTTGAATTCATGGATAAAAGAGGAGAGAGTATCTGGAAGTGCCATCGAATGACTCTGTCAGTGTCAGCTCCTGGGAGCTAAGGCCCTAGATCTTCACCCTGCGGGTACTAGGGAGCCATGGAAGGATTTTGAGCAGGGGGAGGGTGATGATGACTCTAATGATGGTGAGGATGATCAGGGCTGGATGGGGGCCTCCAGTTCCCACGGGTCACCCCTGCCTGCCTCACCCCAAGCTCACCCTCTCTCCCATCCCCAGTCATTTCCAGCTGCCTCCGCGGCCCAATTTTAGCCTCTCATTGTCTGGACGGGGCCCTCCCAGCTGGGGTTCTGGCCAGGAGGTCTGTGGGCGTGGGCCGGTGGAATGGGGCTGACATGGCTAACTCAGGCTCAGGAAACACTTTTATGTTGATATTGGTTAACTCTGGGAGGAAGAGTCCTTGGGAAGAAAACAAAAACAAACCCACCACATTCCCAGGGTCACCAGTGGCCACAGGCCAGCCCACACGAGAGGAAAGAGCACAGAACCACACCCGGGAAGCACTTGTCCTGTTGGCGTGCTGGTGCCCTTTGGTAGGATGGCGCCCAGGCCAGGACTGCCGGGCCAGCACCTGAATAAAGTTCCCAAAGGCCTGGCCTCCCACACTGGCTGTTTATTCAGGTTGGGCCCGTGAATGCACTCAGAGGGCTTAGGCAGAGGTGAACACAGGCTTCGGGTTGGGCCTATAACCTATAACACGTGGGCTAACGTGGCCTGCAACTTTATCCAGCTCATGGGGCTGACTCATGACCATAGCAAACATTACTAATCAATGGGGGCATTTCTTTCTCCTGAGCTCAGTGACTGATTTCCTCTGGAACAACATTCTTCAAGAGCTCCCGAGCACTTGGGATGTGGCTCATCTGAATTGAGAGGTGTTGTAAGTCTAAAAGACATAATGGATTTTGAAGGTGTAATAGGAAAACAAAAGTTATTAATGCATTGTTACATCGATTACACTTGGAAATGAAAATGTTTTGGATATATTGGGTCAAATAAAATATACTGTAAAAGTTAATCTCACCTGTTTCTCTTAACTTCCGCTTAATGTGACTATGAGAAAATTGAAAGGTATCTGTGTGGCTCACAGATATTTCTGTTGGGCAGCACTGCTATAGAGTATCTTCTCTGTGAGGACAGGGAATGTTGTCTTTTTTTTTTTAAAGATTTATTTATTTGAGAGAGAGAGAGAGCACGCACACAGAGCACGAGTGGGGGGAGGGGCAGAGGGAGAGGGAGAATCTCAAGCAGACTCCATGCTGAGCGCAGAGCCCAATGTGGGGCTTGACCCAACGACCCTGAGATCATGACCTGAGTGGAAATCAAGAGTCAGACATTTAACCAACTGAGCTACCCAGGCGCCCCTCTCTTTTTTTCCAGAGCTAAATCTCCACCTAGATTAGTGTCTGGCACATAGTAGGTGCTCAATAATTGTGGAATGAACAAACGAATGAATGAGTGAATCCTTGTTAACGTTGCTCTTCAGGGAACCACCGCCAATTAATCAGATAGGACGCATTTGCCCTCCTGAGCTTACACAATAGCTCTAGCACGGTGCTAAATCCCCATTTGCACTTTCCAGTTTTAGAGCATGTATCACCTTCTCTGGACTCTCTCAAAACCCAGAAGGGGCAGCTGGAGGTGGACTTGGGTGATAGCTCTTCTCCACTACTGGACCTCTGAAAGGGAACTTTCGGTTCCTTCTGATGAGGAAGCAGAGCAGCATGCAAATAATATGGAAATCACCTCTTAGGGACATTTGCCTCCCTGGGGTGCTGGGGATGCTTCCAGTTTACTTTCTGGCCCCACAGAAAGTCTCTAGGGACAAAGTCTCTAGGGACAAAGTATGAAGCTCTTGAGCTCCAGGGTCAACTGGGGCCACTTTAGTCTTTCCCCAGCGAGCAAGGGCTATAGCCTGGAGCATCCTTGTGTCTCCATCCAACAGGAGCCTAAAAATAGTCTGCAGTTCCAGTCTCCCCCACAGCTGCCCGTGCCGAGCTGGGCCCTGTGCCCACCAGCTCCTCCACAGCCCAGATTGTCTGCACAGTCTGCCCCAGCTACTGACCCCCCATCTCCTCCGCCTTGGTCCCATCTTGGCCCCTGGGACCCTGAGCTCAATGCCTGTCTACCTACTGCTCTGCCCTCCCAAGCAGAGTGGGCCCTGACCCCCTGGACCTCCAAACCCTATGTCCTGTCCACTTTCCCATTCTTGAGGGAATGGATGTTGGCCGGACACAAAGTCAAGGTGAGCGTGTTCCAGGCAGTGGAATCAGCAGGTGCAAAACCAGGCAGTGTGAGAAGCTAGAGTGTAACCCATATGAAAGGACTGGTTGAACAAGTTGGAGTGGTGGGGCCAGGCACAAGCTGGAAGTCTGCTGGCTCCCATCCCCCATGCACGGCTCCTCCAACTGTCTCTGTCCTGCCCCACAGAGAGGGGGCTGTCCTCTCAGATCTGGTGGCCCATGGTAGAGCTGTTGCCATTCTGTCTGTGTGTAGAGCTCAGGGGGAACACTCAGTGCCAGGGCCCTCTCCCCATTTGGGTCATCCATTATCTATGATTTGTGGGAAACCCTGGTGCCTTCCAGCTCTGATCTTTTGGGGTTCCTGCCGCCTGATAACGCGGCAGGTGGGCAGGCAGGACTCTCCACTGATGCCCAGAGAGAGAAGGTACTCAAGGCAATCTGGAGTGCCTGCCAGAGCTGGGACCAAAACCTCCATATCTTGACGCCCAGCTGGGACTCATCCCCTTACTCTGTGGTGTGGTCGGATGATCACTGTTGGGAGCACATCTTGCTCTGGGTCTAAAGAGTGGGGTCGGGGGCCCACGCTGTGGAGGGCCTTTCTGGTGGCAAGAGTGAGCGAGCAGGTGATGCTGTTGGTCCATGATGGTTTCCCCACTCTGAGCTGAGCAGGGTCCCAGCTGCAGGAAGTGGGGGCAGAGGAAGTCACTTTTTCCTCTTCTGGAGGGTGACTATGGGGGAAATGCTTAGTTCACGGGGCGGATCTTCCTATAGCTGGTTCCAGGAATCCTATTACCAAAGCCCCTTCTTGCCCCAACATCTCCTGATAAGCTGGTCAAAACCCTCGGAGGCAGAGTGCCAGTGTGTGTATTACTGTCCCCCAGTAGAAGATGGGGGGATGGCGCCTGGAGGGGGAGCTTCTTGCCCAGAGCTGCATAGCCCATGAGAGCCTAGCCCAGAACTCTTGCCTCTTCCCACCCTTGCACGGCACCTGCCCCCATTGGAGCGGGGGTGGGTGTGATCTAGATGCTTCTTGGTTAAGGTAAAGGTGTTGGGGAGGTTTTGAGACTCTTGAGGTTTTCTTACTCCCACCACTGCTGCGCTCATTTCCCAGTAGATGGGGGCCCTCCTCAGTGTGCACATTGGCCACCATAAGCTGTCAGTCTTAGGACATTCGTCTCTGGCTCTGGGGCATGTCAGAGGTGCTCCCCTCCCCTGGCTGCCTGAAGAGCCCAGAGTCATCTGGAGCTCTTCTGCACCTTGGATGGCATCCTTGGGAACCTAGTCTGAGGAAACCACGACCCTTGAAAAAGGCCCAGACTGGCTCTTTGAATGAGGAGGCATGGAACTGTCACCATCCTAGCCCTGATACATCCTTTCCTGAACTCCACCTGCTGTCTGCTCACCTCGTCTGGAGACCTGCCCCAGTCAGTGTAATGAGAGGAGAGCCCCTGCCAAGGAAGATGGCTTTTCTGTGTCTCAGTCTCACTCCTTCTGTATCGGTCAGTCTGTCTCTTCATGTCCCTCCTGATTCTCTCAGTGTTCTCTTATGTTCACTCACATAGAACAAGCATGTGTACACATAAGATGCAGGCACATAGGACGGCACATACTATCTGCTCACATGTACACACAGGCAGGCATGACCGTCTCGAGTCCTGTCCACCCACTTGGGGGGCATGAAACTATCTTCTCATGTGTCTACAGGCTCAAGGCAAACTCACATTTCATTTCAGCTGTCTCTGCCTCCCTGGCACTGTGGGGGCTTGAAGACCTAGGCTGGGACTCCCACTGGTATCTGGGGAATCCAGTGGGGATCACTGGGCCAACGTCACTTGCAGAGAGACAGAGAGACTGCCCTGGAGGTGAGCAGGGGAGAGAGGGACACAAAGATGCAATGTGGAGTTAATGATGCACTGGCCCAGAGGGGACTCAGCCCCAGCCCCATTTTATACCCCTTCTCCTAGGGTTCTGCCGAGATGCCCTCTGGCCCACCTGGGAGCTGGGAACAGAGGGACACGGCACCATAGGAAGCCCCAGGATCAGGAGGCTGCAGGGAGGAAAGCTGAGCATGTACCCCACTCATGGAGAGCGGGGGGCTGGATGTCCCTGGGGGAGGTTCATGCTGACCGAGGTCTCAGTTTCCGTCCTTTCAGGACAATGGGCCAGATGAGGTCCTACCAGGTACTTGGGTTTCCTGGATGGGTCAGGGCTTTCCTGGAATGCCTAGCCTCCCTGGTCTCCCACGGTCAAAGTGATCCCACGGGGTGGGGGGGCGGGCGGGGGTGGGGACGTCAGGCAGGCAGGAAGTCCCGGGAGTCACCTAGGACCTGCCCTGCCCGGGCATCTGGGCTCAAGTGGTCCCCAGAGCCTGTCTCCACTGCGAGCAGCCCACTTACTGAGCACCTATTAAGCACAGGCTCTGTGTGGGGGAGGCTTGCAAGAGGCAGGGGGAGCCCGGGCTGGACCCTTGGGAAGGGGGCACTTTCCACTGCTGGGGCAGGAGCTAAAGTCCCTCCAGGGCCTGGGGCTGACCCAGGTGGAGCCCAGAGGTCCTTCTGAGAGGTGTGACTTCTCTCCACCCTCCCTCTTTGTCAGAGAGGGGCATTGGTCAGCCAGAGCCCTGGCTCGGCTTCAACGGCAACAACCATGAAGACAGAGTTACAAACAGTTATAGCGGTGGCCCTATGCCACCTATGATGCATATGCCTGAGACGATTCTAGAAGTTTTACATAATTATCCTAACTTTCTCAGCAGCCCTATGAGGTCAATACTGTTATCATTTCCATTTTATTGTTAAAGGTACTGAAGGACAGAGAGGGTAAGTAATTTAACACTGCACAGCAAAAACATGCACCTGGGTTTGTCCTCAAGAAATGGGTTTCAGACCAGTTTATCTGATCTCACTTACTCATTCTGTAGCTACTAATTAAACTCCTCTGCTTTGTTGGCCTTGTGGTTGACACAGGATGTTCACAGCAGAGGCCGGCAGACACATGGGGTCCCTCTGGTGAAATGAAAAAGTCAGGCCTGGGGCAGAAGCAACCCCAGTGGGCCAGGACCTCTCGCAGACCATCCACTTGGACCTGATGCTTGGCCATCAGCGGAAGATGATGGGACCACCTGTTCCAAGAGGCTCAGCAAGGGGAGGGCCACGCGCCAATGCATCCTCCAAGGGTGGGAGTGGGGGGCCCCTCCGCTTTGGCTGGGGGGGTGGGGAGGGTATCAGCCTTCCCCTTTCATTGGTTGCCACCAGCACCACCTCAGGAAGCAGCTGCTAAGGGGGCTGGAGGGAGCCCACATCCTGCTCCATCATGGGGAAGTGAACATTGTGGGGTGAGGACCCCTGTGGGGGGCCTGAAACTGAGTAACGTTGAATCAGACTGACTCATTGGAAACCTCTGCCCACTACTGACTCCGAGCCAAAGACTACAGTCAAACCAAAGGAAGAACTTCCCAACTGCGGGTCCGTATACAGCTGGAATGTGTGCCAAAGGAGAGGCCTTTTTGTGTGGGGGGGGTGCCCAGTCCTCAGGCTCTGTCACCCTCACCTAATGTGTGAGGTGAACTGTTGCTGTGCTTGAAGGAGGGGACAGGATCTGTGTCAGAGACCAGACTGTAGCCACACCTCAAGTCCCCTTGTCATGGGGGCACCTGTCCTGAAGCCGGGGATACAAGAGAGGTCTCCATCCCACTACAAGGCCCACTGGGTCTCCCGGGGCCCCTCCCAGGCTGAGCGTAGGGGCAGGGGTGCAGTGAGCTGGTGGGGCCCTCCCGAGGCA